CCTCTTTGTTCTTCTTTCTTGGACCATTCCAATAATCGATGAGACAACCAAAAGGAATGAGAGGGCCATCAAATTTCGAACCAAAACGTAATTCCCATGGTGATTTGTCTCCCCCCGTTGCAATGACATTCTGCATGAAGCACCAATGGCGGGCAGCATGTGGCCAGTGCCAATGATTCAAACCTGCTTGGAGCAGATTGACACGTGTGCCTTCGAGGACTGACCGAACTGCTCTTTCGGCTTGGGCATTGGACTTGGATATGTAGTCCCTACTTAAAACGTGACGGCACTGAAGGATTTTCATTGCTGAGATTAATTCAGGTGCGTTGTCACTGTAGAAAACTCCAATTTTGTCTTCATGTCCAACAAAGTGCTTAATGGCTTAATTGCCAAAATAGCAGCATTGGTGGTTCGTCTGGCATTGGGGTAGACATAAATAAAACCAGTGGCTATGTCCTTCACTACGAGTGCGCTTTTCTCTTCGTCGGTTCCCAATTCATCTTCATCTCTGGTGACGATAAAATCAGCAGTGATGTGATCACCAAATTTCTCAGCTTTAACCTTGGTGGATCCGCCTACGGCTCTTGAGGGTGGCTTAAACATCTTTGCTCGGGCGCATATGTCACAAAAAGGGTTCTTGGGAATGTGAGTCAGCATATGTCGTATTGACTTGGCTTCCTCCTTCAATTCCTTTTCCCCTAGGGACCTTTTGTGGGCACCATCATCTTGAACACTGCTACTGCTACCCTTTGAGCTCCTATCCACAGGCGGCTCAACCTCCCGGTCGGCATCAGGAACATCAACCTCCTCAACCTGCACAGGCTGGGGCTCCGGTAGATCCACATTGATACCCATGGGGTCATCACCGATGATTTCGATGTCCCCGTCGGGTTCCGGAGATTGTTGAGCTTCATCTGATGCCGGGGTGGCAATACTCGGTCTAGGCTGAGTTGATGGAGTGGAAATCGTCTTTGAATTGTTTGCAAAGTAGGGTACGTAATCTCTGACAACTAACTCAATGCGTTCCCCATTTGGTTTGACCATGTAAGGAGGTTCACCTTTAGATCCTCTCCATATGAAGTCGTAACCATCATCAATGCATCTCATCCCGACTGATATAACAGGAGGTGAGCTTCGTACAAGATATGGGTCGATGGTCTTGCCTAACTTCGGGACAAATACTTTCCCCTGTTTCGATGACGAGCTTTCGCCATTGGCAGTGATCATGCGAATGGGGTTGTTGGAGTAATACCCGTAGTCATCTGGCAATTCACTATCATTGACAAGATCTTGTGCGCTCCCCGTATCTGCAATCCAGTCAAGTTCAAGATTGATCGCTCCCTTCACGTCTTCTCTACATTCCGCTGGGGTGGCTTTGATTCCCTTAGGGATACATTCGTTGCAACCAAAATCAGTGTCACATAAATAGGCACATTTGCATTCAACTTCCCGAAGACAATTGGAAACTGCTCCAGCTAACATTGTACCGCTCAAAGCGGCATCGTTTACAGCGAGCTGATCAACTTCAAATTGATGTCCCCATGGAAAGGTTACCTTATCCTTGGTGACTGGGTTTCCAATTGACCTCAAGTTCCCCCGGGCTTTAACAAGAGACACGTCCGGTGAATCATCAAAACGAATCGATGGACAAACGACTCTTGGCTGAGGGACACAAAATGCCTGAGATACGGATGCAAGCATGGATGCAACAAGGCAAACTGCGGCAGGTGACGGCTTCGAAGAACTGGCCCCGGATCCTTTAGACTTTGGGGACTTCGGGCTCTTGGGGCTCTTAGAGCGGCTAGAGCTCCGTGATCCCTTCCTTTTCGGGTTCTTGGGATTTCTCTTTTTATTTTTGCTTTCGCTACTGGCCGAACGGGCAGGAGTAGCTTGTCTTGGCTTCCCAACTGAACCCTCATGAAGGAATTTACATTCGGTTCCTCTATCACATCGTCCTTGTCTCCAAAACTTGCAAATCTTCTTGCCTTTCCCCTTTGGTTTGGGAGAACCGGAACGCTCAGTAGAACGACCTCGGGTCTTGCTAGGTTTACGACTTCTGTCACGTGGCTTGGGGGTTTCATGCTTGTAAGTACAGTTGTCTTTGCTACAGCCCCCTTTTTTCCATGCCACACAATACCCCTTGGGAATGAATCCTGTCTTGCCCTCGACTGCTGGAGCGGAGGGGCGACCGGAACCTGAAAGACCTTTGGCAACTCGATCACGATTTGCCTCCAACCTCTCACGGTCAAGGTGGCGTCGTACGGCAGAAACAAGGAAACTGTAGTTTCGTTTCTCGGTTCCTTCATCAGCTCTGTGATACTCATTCATGTCATGTTGGATGGCCTTGCAATTCTTCACTTGTTTGTAGAAGAGTGTCTCCAACACACTTTCATCAGGGGTTTGAACAATACCAGCCAACACTTGGTCCCAGTTCGAAATGAAAGACTTCAAATTCTCCCCACGCAATTGGACACTGAACAAATCTTGAAGAGCATAGGTCGCTCCATGCTTGATGTTGGTACTGAAATGATCGTGAAGCATGAACAACACTTGTCTCCCTCTTACAATTCGTCCAGCAGTGGCTTCGGTCTCTTTGAAGGTATCTACCTTACGTGCGAAGTCACCAGTAATGATGTTCGTGAGTGCAGAAAGTAACTTTGCATCAAGGGTCGCAAACGGCGCAACCTTCCGGAGCGCTTCAAGAGTCTGTTCTTCTTTCCAAGAATCACTAACCCACTTGAAAGCACTGTCGGGATCTGTGGATGCTGCTACAACTGCTTCTCTAGTCTTGATTCTCCAATTACGATAGGTTCCGCCAATGGGAATGCTGGGATCTTGATAGTGTCAGCCTCCTTGACTTTGGGTTTGTCGTCATGCCTTTGATCAACATAACCACCAAGAAATTTAATCATTCTGCGCCTAAACTTCTCGTCATCATCATCATCATCGGGATTGTCGTCACCGCCATCACCGCCATCCGGAGGGCCGGAACCGCCATTATCCTTTCTGGGTACCTTCTTATTCTTATCCCCAGTAGGCTTATCATGTGGGTCTGGTGGTGACGGTGGTCCACCTCCCTCGTTCCCCCCATGGCCATCTCCTCCATCCCCAGGATAGTCCTCATCAGGCAACTCCTCATCATCACCCGGGTCATAGTATTCCCCTGGACCAATTTCGGTCGGCGAATATAGCTGAGTCGGTGCAGGGGAATTGACCTTCTCAGAAGGAGGGACACCGCTACGTCTGGTGGCGGCCATTCCTCCCGGAAGGCTTTCATCATTTGGTGATCGAGCCACATCCGGTTCTTTCTTCACTTGAGTTGGGACACGATAGGATGGATCATGATAAACAATCTCAATGCCGTCTTTCTCATAAGTTTCCAAATCAGGTGAAGTAAAGTTAATCGGTGTTCTTGGGATAGGAGGTCGGGCAACATTCATTGGAGGTGCTGCAGGTGCAGCCTTACGGGTCGGTGCGACGAACTCGAAACTTGGAATGTCTGATGATGCACGAGCTTCGGCTGTGATAGTCATGGCGGCAGTTTCAACAATTGGGCTTGGACGAACCTGGGCAAACTGGGAATCAAGCATACTTTGCAATTTCAGGTTATGTTGCATCTGGGCTTGTACCATTTGTTCAAGTTGGGTGATGCGATCATTCTGAATGCGTCTTTCCTCCTCAGCTTGCCTTTTCAGTTCAAGGATTTCCTGTTCTTTACTGGAAAGTGATTGTCGATGATTAGCATCAATGACACGTTGGTAGGCTTGAATTTTCTCACTCATTTGAGCCTCTCGGAACCTAATATGTTCGTGCGCCTCATGCTGTAAATTCTCTTTATATTGAGCACCCACATTCAAAAGTTCTTGTTCTTTGATTCTGATAGCATCAAGGGCCCTCTGACTTTCAATGCCCTCGCGGACTCGCAAAGCTTCCTTCAACTCCTCAGTCTTGGCCGTGTGGATAGCTTCAGCCTGAGCTTCAGTGTGAGCCAACACCTCACGATGACGGAGCTCGGCCGCTGTTTCCACAAGGCTTGTTACGGCAGGATCATGTGAATGGACATGCAGATTCTGCTCGACAAAATTCACTTGAGGATTATCCATTTGCACATTGTGATGGAATGTATTGTGAACATTCATTTGGTTCAATTGGCGAGTCGGCGGCCCACCCTCCCGAGCGGCTTGGGGAACGTATCCACGGTGATTAAATCCCACATGGGAAGGCACAATTGCGTTACCCATAGGTGGAAGGTGTCGACGTTCCCTTAAGCTTCGTGATTTATCGGAAGCGGGTGGGGTGCTTATATCAAAATTAAATGGGGTGTCGGTTATAGGCAAGTTGCCGGGATTCGCCATGGCTGCGTCAGAGGATGAACGGGTCCCTACGCCCTCGGTGGAAGTTCCCGAGGGGGGCCGACATGCCTACAAGAGAAAAGGCGTTACGGCTGATAACCTGTTTGACAGGTTAAACAACCTCAAAGTAACAGCAATAGCGCTCGTGTTTCTTGAGCCATAGCAACACGGTAAGTAAGCATTATTAGTATGTACAGTGAACAATATGTACAATAAACAAAAAGCAAAAAAGAACAACTCCATTCAAATATTATTATATATAATAGATAGATATAGAATAAGGATTGGGATGGGTACCGGATTATAGATGGAACTGTACAAAGATCGAGATCTGAAATGTTGGCCCATCTGGGGATGCCCAGATAGGGAAATCCTGCAGCTTCCGCCACCAGTCGTACCGGTACGGTACTTCCGGTACCGGAAAACGTATAAAGCCCAAACAAAACAAAGCCTGGCTGTTTTTGTTCCTGTTGTTTTTCCCTGGCTGGTGGTGCAATGTGCCCATCTTGAAAAATGATGGAGTGAAAGTCAATGGGAAGGATGACATCCCATATATGAAATGGAAAATAAAAAATGTTTGCAACCACCAACCAGTTTCCCATGTTTCAACAACCCAATCCCCAGCCTTCCATTTTTCTGCCAGGCTACGGTCTTGCCGGTACGCTTCACCAAGAGCATGTTGATGGGCGTGATAAGGGTGGCCAGTAGCGCCAGCCGCGGATGCGTGGCGAACATGGCCACCAGAGACCTGCACTACTTTTCGGGGAAACCATCGGGAAACAAATGGAAAACACATGTCAAAACATTGGAAAACATGGAAAACAACTAAACTCAAAAAGAACTTCTGAGTCAGGGCTGTTTGTGATTGTTGGGGGAAGAAAATTTCAAACTGATGGTGTTTTTTCAGGTGCACCGTGCACCCATTTTTTTTCTGGCAGCCAGGAATGAGATTATCCACCTTGGGAGATCATGAATCATGATCTGTTTCAGCAAGGTTGACCCAATTCGGTAGGTCAGGCGACCACAGGTTCGACCACAGGTTAGACCGCACTTGTCCATCCACATGTCCAAACAGGGCCAAGTTCTTTCAATTTTTATTTTTCCAAATCTCGAACTGGTTGAACTTTGGGCTTTGTTTTTGATCCCTTTTGCACAAGTTAAACTCCCATGTTTGGTCAGTCCAGCTCCGCTGTTGGTAGGTTTCAACTATATAAAAAACTCTCTGGTAGTCTAGCCATGCCATCAGACAAGCCATGCCATTTTATGGCCCCTTCGTAGATGATTTGCCTATTGAAAGATTGATTGAATAGCTACTGAAGCCATGGCCCAATCGAAATAGTGGATTTACCCAGCTATGACATGGTGGATCTTTCCATCGTTTTTTGTATGTTTACCAACCAGTTTACCATAGGATAAAATGGATAAACCATGTGGCATCCACCTTCCCCCGTTGCCACGACGTGGCATCTGTGCAGCCAGACCCCGCGAACTTCACGAGGGCACCAAGCACAGTCCTTGTGGGTTCAACACGAAATGGGGGCAGTGGATGGGCCGGACGTTTGGACCGGACCTGCTATGTGAGCTGGGGATATGGGTATGGATCAATACCTCTAGATACATTTTAGTGGGATGAACATCCATTTACCAGCTATTTTGGGGTTCACTAGGTACCAGGGTTTTGACCCATCCCCATATGTCACCATATCTATGGGCTTTTACCCATGGTTTTACCCGACATGTCATCCTATTGTACCACTTGGTTGATGTTCAATGGCCCATCTCTGCAGTACACGGTTTATTCCCGTGGGAGGCCGGACCTTAAGCATTGAATTGGATTAATTATTGGATTTTCATTAATGCCATAGGTATCCATAGGTCTAAAAGATTTATCCAATGATTTCTCGATTTTCTGACCCTGAACAATTACTGTACTAGCCTCGTGTCTATGTATATGTGGGACTAAACAATACCATGTCAGTTCCATCCATACCCATATCATACCCATATATCACTACCCACACCATACTGTTGGTATATGAATGTTCCATTGTATCCGCATGACATCCCCATGGAATATAATTATATTGGCACTCATAAAACATCATCTACCTCTTGATATTCCAATATATTCCATATGTTCAACATCCAGGGTGTCTATGGTTAGATCCCCATGGGGCCCCATGGGATCCCCATGGAACACCCGGCCCTTTCAAAAGGCCCAGGCGTCTGTGTGGTAAACTGCGTCAGTGAGGACAACGCCTGAGAGTCGTTGATCAGACGACTCGACAACTCGCCGCTGACGTGGGAGTCGTAGAAGGCGATCCTTGCGTCGCCGGTGTTGGGAGCTTGGCAGAGATTGAAACCAACGAAGTGGTGAAAAGCCACCACCCCAAAAAAAAGGCCGAAATTGGAGAATCCGAAAATCTAGAAAAATGGTGAGAAATGAAACCTTTTTGTCTAAAATAACCAATGGCCTGATTTTCTGTTGCACACGACCTGTGTGATTGCTGAAGTACCCAGTTCTACATGGAGAAACCACTCATTTCAGCTGGATAGATAGAGCAAAGGTCCCAAGAGAATTGGATATTTACTTTTTTCATTTGCGTGGCTAAAATCACAACTTACATATTCACACTCAAAACATATTGCCGAGTGCACTGTTCAATGATATCCCTTAATATACCCAGTATAGTTGCTTCAACATATACTGACTATTGTTTTGCACCTGTTTATGGCTCAGGGTTAAATCCACATTTTAGATCATTTTCGCTGGTTACAAAAATACCAAAATTGCTTGCCAAAATATCCGGCAATATCCCATGATATACCCATCACGGGATGTGTTAAACATCCCCAAAGATTCCCCCACCTTCAGACTGCCCAGGTTCTCTTGCTCTGTGAGGTTCTGAAATAGTTTGATCCGCAAGCGCGTCACTGTGGTGTGCCCACAGATGGCGAACAAAATGCCTTAGCAGAACGGCGTTGACTTCGAGAAATACTCTGATTCAGCACTAAAATGTTTGGATGTATTTTCGGATAAACCATGAGAAACTCAGATGGAGGTTTCCTAACATGAGGGGTACCCCTAAATCATCCATTGAAATAGGAATTTCCACTGTAAACCATCAATTTTATGAAGATCTCCCATTGATGGAAACCCTCCATCTAAAGCAGGAAAACAGGTGGTTTTTACGGGAAAAAAACGTTGGTCAACAACACGTTTTTGAAGTTTTTGATCCAAGGGAACATCTGCAGGAAAACATTGATATTTATATAGTGATAAAAATCATGGGTTTCCTGTAGATCTTCCTTGAAACCAACCCAATGACTATGGCACTTTAAGGCATGTTCTATCATAAGGAAATGATGATGAAGCTGTGGATTTGCGGGACACCCAACTTTTGGTCGACGCCATCGAAGGAGATACAACGCCATAAGGCTATAAGGGGTCTGATGGGGTGTAGCCAAGTTTCCAACCAAGATCTCGCAAAAGTAACTGCTGAACATCAGTACCTTGGAACTGGTGAAGACCATTCCACAGGATCATATCACCGTCCAGTAAGGCCTGTTGCTGAAACATCCATCAACAACCTATGTGTTGCAGGATTCCAATGGTAAAGGCAACTCACTGGGGAGATGTGTTCGGAATTAATAGCTGTCATGAGTTTTTCCATGACTTCAGCATTTCCCTGTACCCAAATTCTGGGGAACTCAACAAAGGTGAAAAATTTCTGACGACAAGAGTTCTGAAGTGCAGGGTCCAAGTGCAGCTGGGGACCGGACCCTAAAAACTGGTGAAAAACTCCCCATTCAAGGTACCATCAACTTCAATATGTAACTAACTATCCATGCAAAAATCATATATAGAGCATATAACTAACTTGTGAATGTGACAAGTGCGGGGACATTGGCCTTTCAAAGTGGTTCCTACCCAGCTCCTGCCGCTGGGCCAATCTTCCAAGCAGCTGAGAGGACCAAGATCGGCTCAAAGAGCTCCGCCCCAATGTCCACAGCCTGGAGACGAATGACTCCTTCACGACTCCCCACCTTACATGGCATATATATATACTGTATATATAATTATATATAATTATGTAGAATTCTAGTAATCCAAAAAAAATATAGAAAAACAAATTCCATGCTTCTCGGATTTTAGTAAGTAGTTAATGAATGCCGGAGACCGTGGGCCCATCCCGTGGGCACCTCAGGTCCACCCTTGGCATATCGGGCGGCCGCATCGACCGCCACATCAATGAGCTGCCCTTGAATCCAGGGAATCATAAAACCTCGGCTCCCCAGCTCCCCAGCACCAAAAGGTTTGAAAAATGGGTATGGATCAATACCTATAGATACATTTTTATCAATTGGAATGGGATGAACATCCATAAATACCAGCTATTTTGGGGTTCACTAGGTACCAGGGTTTTGACCCATCCCCAAATGGGAATGACTCAGGATCCAATACATGGAGCTACGGTTAAAATTACGTACCTCCAAAAGACCAAAACAAATTCTGGGGATATTTGAAAATTAGGCCTAAAAAGGCCAGGCCAAACATCTATGGAATCGCTACCTCCAATAGATCGGTTCCTGTTGCATGGCCATTGTAACTCTCAAGCTGAGACACTGAGACTCGTCAGTATGAAGGAGATCAAAATTCCGGAGATCCTGAGCGATCGCTCCAATGCGGGGTTGCCAGTGTTTTTTCACTGGGTTGCCCAGTGCGATCACGACTGGGATTTACAATTTTATAGTGAACTATAGTGAATTGTGATTTGTTGGATCATATGGTGAACTATATTCATCAAATGCTTCATCACTTGTGATTTGTTACAACTATGTTACAATTATATATTATACATACATGGAATTATATTTATACCGTTTTCCTTTTGCTAAATTCGTTGTTTTCAGACATCATTTGCCAACGTCACGACCGTCACAAATCATCGAAGTGTTGGGCTTCACCAGCCGTGAAGGACACCTCCCGGAAGGGCCCATGGTGGATTCTCCTTATATATCCGTAAAACACTGGGTTAGATACTCCAATTCTTGGTGATATCCCCCATTATATCTCCAAATATACAGTATCCCCTATATATATATATGTATGTATATGTATGTATATCCCAATGATTATCCCCCATTATTCCCACATATCCCCATGTGATCCCATAGTTTTTTCCTACTTGATCTCCCCATTAACATCTGATCCAGGGGGATCATCACATATCTCGCCAAAACGCAGGAAGTTCATGGGACAGAGGGAGAAGACCTCGTTCTTCAGCAGTTTCAATGAACTTCGGATGCTCGGTGCCTCAAAACCTGGGTCGCCACTCAACTGGGGGTCGCCGGAACACACACATGTTCATGGATGTGTATATATCATATACAATACTATATAATATTATAATACGTTATACTATATTATATTATATTATTTTTACAGTATGTTATATTATATATTAAATTATACGATATATTATGTTAAATTATATATAAATATAATACTATATAATATGATATAATATTATATAATATTATATTATATTATATCATATTATATCATATATTATTATATTATATCATTACATTATATATTATTAAATTATATATTATTATATTATATCATATTATATTATATATTATCATGTTATATATTATTATATTTTATATATTGTTATATTATATATTATATATTATATAATATATTATATATTATATAATAATATAGAATATATGTATATATATATATCATATATTATATATTGTATATTATATTTTTATTTTATTTATTATATATTGCTTATTATATATTATGTATCATATATATTATATTATATATATTATATATTATATATATTATATATATTATATTATATTATATATATATATTATATTATATATTATATATTATATATTATATATTATATATTATATATTATATATTATATATTATATATATATATATTATATATATTATATATATTATATTATATATTATATATATTATATTATATATATTATATATTATATATATTATATTATATATTCTATATTCTATATTACATTATATATTAAATATAATATGATATACATAATACTATATTATATATTATATATATATCATTTTATTATACTATATATGTCTTTCAAATTATGTTAAATTATATTAAATTATATTATATTACATATATTATATTATATATTATATTATGTTTTATATTTATATTATTATATATTATTATATTACATATGATTATATTATATTATATTAAATTATATCATATATTACTATATTACATATTGTTATAATACATTATATTACATATGATTATATTATATTATATTATACTATACTATCTTATATTATATTATATTATATTAAATGATATTATATGTTACTATATTACATATTATTATCATATATTATTTTTCTAATTTTATATTATATTATAATATATCATGTATGTTATTATATGATATTATATTATGTTATTGTATTATATTATATTATGTTATTATATTTTATTTTATTTTATTTTGTATATTATATATTATGTATTATATATTAAAATTATATATATTCGTATATTATCTATATATATATATTTATTTATATTTATATTATATATATATTATATTATATATGATTATATTATATATTATTATATGATATTTTATTATATATTATATATTATATAGTATATATTCTATTATATTTTATTATATTCTATTATATTCTATTATATTCTATTATATTTTATTATGTTCTATTATATTCTATTATATTCTATTATATTCTAATATATTCTATTATATTCTATTATATTCTATTGTATTCTATTATATTCTATTATATTCTATTATATATATTCTATTATATTCTATTATATATATTCTATTATATTATATTATACTATATTATATTATATTATACTATATTATACTATATTACACAGATTTATATATTCATACACGTTGTTAAAAGATGACCATATATATAACTATATGTTCTTGTGAATTATATTTGAATATGGGGCACCCATATATCAATCCATTCAAATCCGATGTTGGCTATAACAAGCATCGAACTGGGCATCCCCCGTCCTCAACTGGTTTAGGCGGGGCAGGATTCCAAGGGCGTGGATGTTTTTAAGGATTTCCCAGTACCATCTGGTTATGACTAACTGGGAAAATCCCTTGTAAATGGAGGTTTATAGCTGGGAAAATCATCTATAAATGAACCATTTTCCATGGCTATGCAACAAATAACCAGAGGGATGGCTGGTGAATCAACTTGTCATGATAAAATCAGGTGAATCAATGAGGAATATGATGATGGAATGACATACGAAAAACCCCCCGAATTCTTTGAGGTTTCAGAAAATCAATGAGGAATAGTAATATGAGTATGGAATGTAATGAAATATCTACGCCTGTTTTCAGCCAGTTTGGCACAGGCAAATATAACTCCAAGAACTGTTGGGTTTCTAGTAATTCTATTTGAAGTTGGGTTTCCAGTAAAGTCATCTAATTTGGCAATATATAACTGGTGGATTTCTAGTAGATATACTTCTCCAACTACTTGAATCATCCACCAGCTACCGGGCCGGGGGCACTATCTTGGGTCGTGGGACCCATAGGGTTTACCCCTCACCCTGGTGATGAGAAAACGGGAGAAATGGTAGAGGCGGGGATGTGCAAACTCCACCTGAAACAATGATATTCCAATCTCAACCAGCTTCAATACTTCATGTTAATGGCAATGCTTTGGGCATAATCCCTTCCTCCAGATATACCAGCCTAGAAACCTTGGTTTAGTATTGGATCTATTCATTTGGGGGCTACTTTATGGGGATTTAATATCCTGGTGATAGGATTAGTGAAGCATATTTTCACCATTTTTCACCTGTCTGAAAAACATGGTAGTATTGATCGTCATAGAAATGGTCATGTGATCCAATGATTGATAATTAGTACCAGTGGTTGATACCCTCTGGTAATTTAACATAGCTATTGAAAATTGCCGTTTATAATTAGTGGAATTACCCATGAAAAATGGTGATTTTCCATAGTTATGTTAGTTTACCAGAGGGTAATTAGTATGGATCTAGTGGTTGTTCCTCTTCGGTTTGAGGCGGAACATGATCATTGTCTGGGCAGTGAAAAAAAAACGCTATCATTCCGTTCTACTGGTTGCGTTCTAGAACGGGATTCCCATACGATAAGGCCCAATCAAGGGTCAGATAACCCCTGAGCCAATCATCAACCAACTATCATTCACATAGATTCATATTGTCATTCATCAGTTCTATTCCCATATATTTCATAGCTCAGAATCCCGATATGTTCATGGTTAAAAAAGGAGTTCTGTACAACATCGCCAAAAAATCCCCCGCTTTGGTGTTTTTTCCAATCGAAGCAATCTCTGGTGCGCCCAGGGACCACTTCGTCCGTGCTGTTCCTCTTGCGCCTGTTGTCCTTCCGACTGGATGATCTTGGCTTGCTCCAGCAAGCGGTTGTGCAAGCGAACCTGCGGTGATGCGGAAAAATGCACTTCGCGTCGCGTTTGGTACTGTCCGAGAGAATCTTTGAAGATCGAAACGTCGATCTTAATGGAGGGGTCGCTTTGGCAAACCAAATCATTGTCAAGTGCCTGAAGAACTATCTTTAAGTATAGGTTTCCTATGGTTTCCTATCAACCGCAACATTCTCGGCCATGTCCCTGTCGGTATACCCCAAGGTATGGGATGTCAACCATCCCCACTTGGAAGTCTCTTTACTTGCAGGGTGAATCCCATATAATTCATTCCAACATATGTTTAGTAATTGAGATGAGTGTGAAAAAAAACACGATTCACGATTTCTAGATAATTTTCCGAAGCAGGGACATACCGGACATAGCCATGAACTTCCATCTCGTTTTGCGAAAATTTGCGGAAATAAGTTGCAGGAAATCTTCTCAATGGGCTGCAGTGGGCAAGATGAATTCCAAAATTATAAACAAATTCTGCTACCCCAAGAATTACCCTATTGCAATGTTTATAGTGTTTATAGTGGGTTATCTAATTCCAAACAGAATTTCCTATTGCGGGTAATTACTGTACCCCAAGAAATTCTCCTCAAATAATCATGTTAGACAGGAAAATCCTTCTGCTGCTCATGATATTGCTCAAAAAATAATTCGGGGCTTTAAGCGGTGACATCCGTCCACTCCCCGACATCGCCTTAAGAAGTCATGAACATCACCAAAAAATCAGCCTGGTTGATCTGAGAAATCCATAAAGCCATCATAAAGCTCCTGCATCTCTTGATGTGTCTCCCCAATTATTGTCTCAGTGAATTGATGATCTTTTTGGGGAGCTTCAATCCCCAGTTTTTCTGCTTGGTGGTTTTTCGCCACCCCTCTGAAAAATATGCGAGAGTCAGGTGGGATGATGAAATTCCCAATATATGGAAATTCATAAAAGCCATGTTCCAAACCACCAACCAGTTTTGGTGTGTCTTCTGAAAATGCAGGTCTCCCCCCATTGCCCCAGCCCTTTTTGTCAGGGAAAATCCACGGTTGACCCCGGTTGACTGGTGATTGAACGTGGCGAAGTGGGCCATGCCTTCCACTTCGCAAACTGGCCAGAATCATGGGCCAAATATTCCGAAAATATCCAGAGGTTATGTAGATGTAAGTGTTGAATAATGTGAAGTACAAAAACGGCAGAGGTTATCTAAAATTAGTTATCTATTTTCGCCATAGGTATACCATAGCTATACCATAGGACTACCCCACCATCGCCCTGCCCAACTGAGGCTCCCAGCATAGGACCAAGCCCAGCAGCCGGCCTGATCCCAGTCGGGGTCCTGCCCGGCAGCTGGAAAACACCAAGGTCCAAGTTTGTGTTTAAAAAAACACGTATTTACTAGTCTATAATCCCACTGGAAATCATTCATAATGGGTAATAATAATAATGATAATCATAATAATAATGATAATAATAAAAATAATAATAATAATTAATAATTATAAATAATAGTAGTAATAATAATAATATATAATAATAATATATATATATATAACCAACTCAAAAAAAAATCTTCTTTCATGTTATTAATATGATAAACAAATTAAACAATCATGGAAATATGATATATTAGGGTAAATCATCATGTTGTTCACCCAGTTGTATACCCTCGGGTGTCAAGTGTGGAAAATCATGGAAAAACACAATGAAATTCGATGGTTTCTATTCATTTGTCCATCAACGACTCCATTTGGTGTGTTTGGATTTGGATTTCCCAGCCATATTTTTCCATTACACTAAAATCATTAAAGGGGAAGTCATATCAAACTGAATGGACCATGTTCCATAGCGATGTTATGAAAGATCGGACGGTAGTTTGAAACCCTGAATCCAATTACTGTAAGTCATTTGGCTATGGATCAATACCTATACATACCATTTTTAGGGGGATGAACATCCATTTACCAGCTATTTTGATGTTCACCAGGGGGATACGGTTTTGACCCATCCCCATTTCATTGATTTGGAGTTGCTACGGCGACAGGACCGAGCCCCACCAAGCCATCATTGGAATCAGTGTGAGGTCATAACTAGTGACCTTTAAGGAGCCAAAGATTTGGAAAAAAATTGCAGCTGTCGGGCCCCCCAATTACAAGTTGGTTTAAAAACCCTATCAACTCTATAGTTGTATCCGCCATAAACCATTGTTATTGGAGTTATATGTAAACCAACTTAGCCATCTAGGGCGGCCCGCATTGTGCGGAGTTCTGTAAACCACATCGGAAAGCATTCCCCTCCTAGTGCGGTGGGGTACTGGAAACGTCCAGGGTTGGAAAATCTTGGAAACATTTGGAGACGTACTGATACCGATGCATAGACACATGTATACGTGTTACAAATGTTGATGTTCCCTGTATCTTAGCCTGTCATACTGCTAATATCTGTATTGTGTTAATATCTGTTAATAGTATGTGTCCTCAAAAATAGATGGTATGACTCCTCAAAAATAGTTGTATGACCTTTACCCAACATCCCAACATCCCAATATCCCAAAGGAATTATAGTCCCTCTGGATCTAAGTCCTTCCTGAGAAAGTACTTAAGCCCCAAAATCATACTCCAAATACTGCCTCAGAAGGTACTTAGATGGGCCATGGGACTAGTCAACTGATGATCGTAACTGGGTTACACTGGTTAACTAATCCCATGGCCCATCTAAGTACTTAGATCCATTTTTTGTCATCTGGGTAAATGAAATCATATTTCACTAACCTTGACTGGTTGGTGGTTTCAACCCCTCTGAAAAATATGAAAGTCAATGGGAAGGATTATCCCATATATAATGGAAAAGAAAAATGTTTGAAAACCATTTCAGGAACCTAAATTGGAGGTACCTACTATATATAAGGCCAATTTTTCAGGCCTTAATTTCAGGGAATATTCCCCCAAAATACGGCCAGAAATATGGTACCAACGTACCTTTAGGATCCTGAAATTCCCATTGAGAATGATTTTGGGAATATATGATTCCATGATTGGTTATGGAAAACCAACCTATATTATTGGTTATTACATATACGTTATTGTTCCATATTCCCAATCTATATTATGATTTCCCTTTACATTCACCATGATTCCAGGCTTCGGTCGTGAACAACTTTTACCATTAGAATCGCCTGAGAGAGTCGCTCACCCTGCAGCTGCCGCCAGGGCAAACCATCCTGGGAGCCCCCGTTGTATGTGAAATGTTGAGGTTGGTTTATGGGGCCCCATCTAAATACCCTCTGGTAAACTAACATAGCTATGGAAAACCACCATTTTTTATAGGTAAATCAACTATAAATGGCCATTTTCAATAGCTATGTTAAATTACCGGAGGGTATATATATACAGTTATTTGGGTATCATACACCAACTGGTTATGAAATAGTTAGGACCAACTTAGCTAACGAAATGGGGCCCCATCCTGTATGTATGTATGTATGTATATATATATGTGTAATCCTTCATGGGCTGAAATATGTTCCTGGGATATTCGTATTATATTCATGGGATTTCATCGTATCTGATGGAGTTTCATGGGAGATGTTGGGCTTAGAATGGGATATGTAAGCAATATGATTTGGGTTTGTCTGAAGACGGAAGTTTTAGACGGTTTTAGACACAGAAATGGGGATGTCACAATTACGATATAATCAATATAATCCGATAGAATGGAGGAACCAACCAGAATGAGGATATAATATTATTAATATTATATAATGGGGATACAATTACAATAGAGGTGTAACACCGGTGATATTGTTGCCCATCTCAGTCAAGATTTCTCAAGATCACCAGTGGGGATACAATGGGATATATTATAATGATTCATATATATATATATGTAAATATATATATATATATGTGTATGTATGTATATATATATGGGCCACGGCCAATATTTGGTATATAGCTCCAAGTCATCACTTTTTGAAGAGTGTATTATCGTTTTTCAGGTTTTGGTATATAAGTAAATGTTATCGTTTTTTGAAAAGTGTATTATCGTTTTCCAAGCCCCAGCTCGATTTCTGAAAAATAGAGACCGCTCGAATACTACTCACCATTAAGCTAAATTTGGCTGTAGCTCATATATATTAATATATATATAAGGGTTTGGCAACATTTAGCAACATTTGGCAACCAACAATATGGGCGCACGGCGCACTGTGTATAATATGGCTTCGTCCAATGTTTTTGAGAACTGCCAAGTTATGGAAATAAAATCATGGAGACAAGGAGGTTTTTAACCAAATGGACTTTGCTTCGATTTTTGTTCAATGGATTTTTGGCTTGTAACTGGGTTAAGTATAGATATAATCATAAATTATAACATACTATAACCAAGTCATGGGCCTATAACTATAGTTGGCTTAATGGAACATATAACGAACTAGTTCATGGTTTAATCTTCCAACAGACAGTCAACTGGAAAGCCGAAAACCTCTTAAAGATGCCAGAAGATCACCAAAATCCATGGTGCAAACATCTGAAAAAACCATTGAGATCGCTATCCTGTAAGAAAACCCTCTGGTAATGACTTACATAGCTATTGAACATGACCCATTTAGAGTTGATTTACCGATTTACCTACTAAAGATGGTGATGTTCCATAGTTATGTTAGTTTACCAGAGGCTAAGCCGGATTTCCACCAATTCTGTCCCCCTCAACTATGATTCAGGCATATTCAGGCTGGCTTTTCAATCCTTGAGGGAACCTGTGGAGCTACCATGGTTAGCTCAGCTTTTGGAGAAGCCGATCATCAAACAATCATCCCAAAAGACCGCCTGATTCGGTTTGTGGTTGATGGGAAAACAAACGACCTGTCTCTCCAATAAGCACAACGAATTTCCCAATCAAACAATTTGAGACCTGTAGTTCTACGAAAAATCGCACCGCGATTCACCGAGTTTCCGTTCGACCTTCCGACTCCAGCGGGCGCTGAAAGGGGACGCGCGCATCCATGGCGACTTGGAAACTTGGTGACTACTCCATGGACGGTGCAGTCGGGCACTGTATCATATCACTAACTAGATGAGTTCACCCCTCAAGTTGCGATTAATAACTTTTACCCCCAATAACTACGGTTATTAATCTCCACTATTAATTCGTTCAACTGCACCAAGGGGAGGCTCCGAGAGCCCTCAAAGTGCCATGATGGAAAATGATGATCAACCAATAAGTTTTAGGGGTGATTTTCAGACAAAGCCACATGGTTGTGGTCATCCCATGTCATCCCACCATTATTGGGCATCCATATAACTTGGCCATTTAATTACAATGATGAAAATTCCCGAGTGAAAATCCTGTTTACAATTTGTGGAGGTATGACCGTTTTTACAATGTGCATAATTTTTGATCCAACTTTTAAAAAATGGCACATAAAACCTTCTGATTTACAAGTGCATGCTTTTGGTGCAAGAATCAACAGTACAGCAGGATGCCTTGGAATACAGGCAAACACACACACACACATCCTTGAGGCCTTAAGGCAAAGTTCCCTGATAAAAAAACATGATGTCTGATAAACGTCTAGAATGTGGCCTGGCGATCACCATGTTTCTGCCGATTTCTTCGACGGAACCTTGAGAGATCCACAAACACCTTTACAGTATGCTTACTACGCTGTACTTGACCCATTCATCAAAATAATTCAAAATATGCTTGTCAAAGATGCTCGCACATCAAAAGAAACATGAATCCAAAATTGAAATCACAAGCAGTTGTACTGGCTAGCAAGGTACACATAGCTACCGGATCCAGGGCATTTCCCGAGGAAAAAAGTCACAATGTGTGGCGTCAGCCCCATGTCTTCAGGTTCATCAAAAACAACACGGTGGCACCAGAAATTTTTGTTTCTGAAACCACTCGGGAATCATCCCAAAGGGGAACGAAAATCCATCTTGCAGATTTTCAAAAACATGGAATCCTATCACCTACCCTACCCTCTGGTAAACTAACATAACTATGGAAAATCACCATTTTCAATGGGAAAATCCACTATCAATGGCCATTTTCAATAGCTATGTTAGTCATTACCAGAGGGTATTCACCAAGGTCGACCCAACTCGTACTTCTGCCTTCCCCCGAAAGCCCGTCCGGAAGAACGACAGGCGCCACGGACCAAGGGGACCGTGGAGGCGCCTGCGGCACTGGAAAATCCCCCATTGATACAAGGTGGTGCCCATAGTTAGCTAAGTTGGTTTATAACTCCCATAACTATGGTTTATGGTAGATATAACTATAGTTAATGGGGTTTATAAACCAACTTATAACTGGGGGGCACCATCCTGTAGGATATTTTTCCCCCACATTCTATAGATTCTATTGCCGGAGGGTAAAATCCCATGAAATAACGATAAAAATATCAATTTCTTCATCACCATTGAAATCACATTCAATTCCCTATGAAATCCCATAGAATCCGATTATATAAATTTCTATTAAAAAAATGAATAGAATCACATTATATAAAATCCCATTTTTTTTTATCCTATAAAAATCAATTCTTGGATCATTTTCTGGTTGGTTTTGGGTTGTTTTTCGTTCACCCCCAATCCCCCGTGCCACAGCCGAGAAGTGCCGCCTGTGGCGATGACATTGTCACGCCGTTGACGCCATTGCTCACCAGCGGCGGCGGCGCCACCCTGAAAAAATAGCCACAGAAACAAAAGCTGTGTTTTTTTTCAGTGTTTGAATTTGTATGTATATATTTATCCAAATATATATACAATATATATATATATATACTTATGTGTGTGTATATCTATATATATATATACATATCTATCTAATCTAATCTTATCTTATATTCTTGTATATCTATCTATCTGTCTATCCATCCATCCATCCGTCCATCCATCCATCCATCTATGTAATATGTACGTACATACGGTACATACGTACATAGGAACGTATGTACATATGTATGTATGCATACATGCATGCATGCAACATAGATCAAAATAGGGTACCTAATATGTATATATAATATATATATATATACATACGATTAAATATGTATGTATATATATATGTATATGTATATGTATGTGTACATAAATATGTATATACATATACATTTATACACACACACACACCATTTTGAGGTGTTTTGAAACTTTGGAAAGCTTTGGGAAACCACCCAAAATGAGATTGGGACGCCACTAGGGCCCCATTTTAAAGTGTTTTTAATTTGTGTGTTTGATATTGTATGTGTTATTGTTTTTGTCATATGAAGTTTGGAAACCCATTCCAAATTTCATATGGTGCTAGATTCAACGTGTCTTATCAACATCATCGTCACCATCAGCGTCATCACCATAAAGTGCGGGTAGGAGGCACCAAAGAGATCGATGTGTTTAATTTAACTTGGGCGAGGTGACAATGGGTGATGGTAATGTTGTAGAAGTTTGAGATCTTGTAGAAGTTTGGGGAACCAAGCTGAGACAGACAGAGTTTCACAAGCAACTTGAATTCTCTCTACCTGTTCTTCACTGACATATCATGTTTTTTTTCCAACATTTTTTTTCACTTATATGTATATATATACACATATATGTGTATTTATTTAATTTCTCAATGTAAAGAAATGAAAGGACATATTGTTTACTACGTATGTCATATGGCTATTCATTGTGCTCACTATATTCTGGTTGATTAACAGCCAGGGACTGCCGGAGATCATATCTAATTAAAATTCCCATATCTTTAAAAAATATATCAAATCTGAAGCGTTTTCAAATCAATCAATCTTCATAAGGATTTAAAAAGATTGTAGAATTTGGGGTCCTCACAGCGTCCCTGAAAAAAATGTTCCCGGTTCCTGGTTCCGTGGCCTCCCCAATTGTAGCCCCCCTCAAAAAATCGACCATTTGCATGCTATCTGAAGCATTTGAGAGTCACAGAGTCCCATTTGCATGCTATTTGAAGCATTGAAGCGAGCCACAACCTTCGACTTGCACCCTATTTGCGACATTTGAAAGCCATATGCGATCTACATTCGACCTACGTGCTGTCCATATAGTAACATCTTGTATCTAGATGCCTCTTGTCTACCTGGTATACCTATATACAAGCCATAGCGATTCTCTACACTATTCATCATTTGCCTATGATTGGCGTATTACCAATACTGTATCCATACATATAACCTATATAGTACTTATAGCGTATCTATATAACACGTACGTTCTATTTATATATATATACTCTATTATATATCTACACTCATGTGCAGCATCGAAAACCACCAGAACCCCCGTACCCCACCACAGGGGGGAGGAGGCAACAACATACAGTACCTAATCCGTTGTACTTATATTGTACGACCTGAAAATACATAGCAACGAACTCCAAGCTACAAATATACCTTTATATATGATACATATTTCATGTGTAGTACCACAATAGTGTCTATGTATATATATATATATATATATACATATGCATAGATACAAATCCCTTGTATATTCCCCATATATATAATACATGAAAACTACCTATAGTCTATCTATCTATATCTATGAATATCGTCTATATCTATCTATCTATCTATCTATCTATATATATACATACATAAGCCACCCAGTTACTACTCATCTGGCGCTAGGTTATGATATTGCTCATCCATGTTTTATTCCCTGTATATACTTCATCTTCAACCTCCTCCCCACCCACCCACCCACACCACATGGGGAGGGGGGAACCATGATACCGTCACACCCCCCATACCACAGGGGGAGAGGGGTACCATGACCATGAGGAACACATATTATATTATATACCTATATATGTACACACATACATACACACATGAACGGACCCCTAGACAAACTTTTGAGACATGTAAGTTCTGGTATGACCAGGCATAAAGAGGTCTTGCAAGTAGGAGGTTTCAGGACCTCTTAGTTCTTGCCCCGTCCAAACTATGTCTCAAGTATAATCGACTTTCATGTTGAGCTAACATGTCTAAAGAAAAGTCACTTTTCTTGAAAATAGCAATATTCCTTTCGATGAGGAAGTTTTTCTTAACGTGCAGATATGCATTGTTCAATATAAAATGAGGACATACCCATTTCATAACGCACAATACTTCTGGAAAGGAAGTGACACATGCACAAAAAAATACAACAAGTCCATCAAATATACCAGGCATCTATCAAGTGCAGTATCTCTTCAAAGAAAACACAATTCTCCTTTAGAAAATTAACTTTACGTTGAAGAACATGCATTTTTTTCCCAAAGTAATACTACAATATGCTATATTTGTTGGAAAACTATGAAAACCATGCTGTTTTTTTGAGAACATACTGCGCATAGGGTACAAGAACTGATACGTTATGCTTACAAAAGTCAGTACGTACCCAGATAGACATAGTGCATGCGTAGTATGAACAAATAAGAACCGTGTTTGCTCAAACAAAAAACAACACAAATGCTACGTCTGTGAGATTAACAGTGCCCCGTCTGAAGAAAAGAGAATTTCTTTAATGGAATGCTACCCATTGAAAAGGAATGCACTTCTTTCAACGAATGTCGCACTCTTTGAATGAAGGTGTTTGTTGAAAAAGATGTCTATGTACTTCTTCAATAACTAAATTGCATTTTTGAAGGGCATATTTTCCTTTGAAGCATTCCTGGAATGCTGCACCAATTTGAAGAATGCCCTGTATATGCTGCAAAGACAATTTGCAAACATGCAGTATGGCTTCCTTCAAGAAATGTAGTGCTTTCCTTAAGGGAGAAAGCTAAAAGTGGTATATCTTGGGGAGTAGCATACATTATATTATACTATAATTACTATATTATACTGTATTATACTATATTATACTATATTATATTATATCATATTATATATTATATTATATTATATTATACTATATTATATGATATCATATTAAATAATATTATCTTATCTTATATCATGTCATATTATATCATATCATAGTGTATTCGTATAGATGTGAAAT